ACTCACTTGGATTCAGCATGCTATATCATCTGGACGAATGGGTGATCCAGGTAAGCCAGGAGTTAAATGGTTCAATAGATTCTTAAAAGATTATGATTTAATTCCTAAATATTTACGAAAAATGGGTACCGTTTATGGTGTGGTAGTACATGAGGCTAAGAATATGACCCACGCTTATACAATTGCTGGAGAATGTCTACGTCATTCATCACTTCTCCTGTGCAAAATTACGTTGTAGTCAATTATAGAAAAAGAGGAGTTCCTTATGAGCAAGCAAGACCATTTCATATCTATGATCAAGATAATCACGCTTCTTTACTTTTACCACATCTACAGTAAAATCTTCATCATCATTAGACGATTCAGAACTAGACCCAGATGAGGATGAGGACTCAGATGTTGCATCGTTAAAAATTAGTTTTTTTCTAGCTTTGCATTTTCTTTTAGCCTCAGATGGTGTATGATTTCTTCGAGAAATATCTGGATTTGCTATTAAGTCGATAATCTCTAGCCCAATCTCGGGTTTCACTATCTTCAGTAATTGGCCGAGAGAGATCCAGATTTTTTTACCCGCCACTTGCTTAACAATACTGGATACTACCCTATAATTATTCTGAGATTCGTGGCTATTTCCAATAATTTCCGCTCCCAATTTTTTAGCAAATTCTTCGGTTATAGTTGACCAGTTAGCGCTTGAATTGATAATAGGTTTAGTTGTTGTCGATGACATAATATTATTTATTAATATGAGTAAAAAAATATTATTAAATATATAATTATAATAAAACGTCACAATGAGAATTTTGTTTTGCGAAATTAACAAAGTACCAGTGAAAACTATATTAGATACCACCACCAATTGTAATATTATAGGCAGGGGTTTAGTAGATGTGCTAGGCTTAGAGATTGATACTTCCCATAAAGAAGAAGCAAAACTATTAATCTATCTTCCATCTGAAAAATCACTGAAGGCAACATCATCCTCACATTGTGAGACTATAGAAGATAGCATACCAATATTGGGAATGGTTCATAACATAAACCCCTCTTTCCGGTCTAAAGATAATAAATGGAAACAGGTAGAAGTTAATGATATTTTAGTTCCTAATAAACCCGAATTTGCACATGTATTGTTATTAGGTTCACCATGGATTCAGGCAAATATGTCGGAAATAAATTTTCCCAATCATACTCTCACATTGCTTGATGGAACCGATGTATTATTGGATATTCCACGAGAGCTCCCGCCACCAAAACAAATATCCTTAACAGTAAAAGAATATTATAAGATGGTGAAATATTACATAACAGCATTGGGAGTAAATAATAACGAAATTTACCTTAAGGAACACTTCCTCTGTGGATTGTCTCGTGATAATCAGTTGGAAGTCAGAAGATGCGGAACAGACATGTCATTAGATGAGCTGGTTGCAAAGTTAAGCGTGGTTGAGAATATCCCGAAAATGCATAGTATATATGCCTAAAAATAATTATCCGAACATTAGTTGTTTTTTCCGATTAAAGATATATAATATACATTCTTGAGAATGGCGCAACAAAATATTTTTGATTTACCGGAATTACTAGAACAGATCTTATATTTTTTAGAAATCGATCAATCCCTCTATTCTGCTTTATTTGTTAACCGCCTTTGGTATCACTGCGGTGCTCCTATTCTATGGCGTCGCATTGACCCATCCAATCAGAATAAATACGTTATTGAATTTCGCTTCCGGATCAGAAGGAAAAATGTCAAGAAAAATTTAATTAACCACGAAATATCCACAATGAGTAAATTAACTCCACTGATATATTTATTGCAAAGTAATGGCTCTACGGCCTACGTATGGAAACCCCCTTTATTTAACCAATTATTATGACTCTTCGCGTCGCCCTAAGGGCCTAATTTATTTATATGATATATACAAGGTATAGTGATACGGAAAATGAATCGTAAATAAAAACCCGTTAGATGCATTATTTATTATATCGTGCCGGTAGGCCTTTTCTTGCGGGTTCCAAATCTATGATTGAGAGATAAATAAACAATATATATTAATTCACAAACCTTGCTCACCTATAATAGGCACTTACCAAGATGACTCCGCCTGTGGTTTTTTAATTTTATTGTAGATTTTCGAGAATCCAACTTAGGGTGAGAGTATTTTTGTGTCGTTTAACATTATCCATGATCGGGTGAGTATCATCTAGAACATCCGATACATCTAAATCTCCATCATCGAAAAGAGAGCTAAATTTCCGTTTTTGTTTTATAACGGTGTCATGTATATAGAAGACAACGCTATGCCTCGACCCGGTTATTATTGGAAGGTTTTCCGTGAATTAGGAGGCACGACCGAAAAGCGATAGATTTGTTTTTTTTCGTCATCTTAACCCTTCTGCAAATTTAAAATCAATAAAGCGAAACAATACAATTAATAAAATTTCGCAGTCATCTTTTGAAATAAAAATATTGAATTCATCACAGAACTTATTTTCACTTAGCTTTATTTGAATAAAAGGTGTCTTCGCTCATTATTAAATGGCCACGATTAATTTTCTAATCGAGTTTTCTTTGCGTAGATGTATTCATTCAACATTTCGGAGAATAACCATTCTATGGCATTGACGGCTTCTTTGTTTTTCTTCCTCGTGACGATCGTTTCTTTTTGTACCACGCCTCACCAATATTACCACAGAAATCGGCAAAATCAGAGCCGAAATTAATGATAAACTTATCTCGGAAATCACAAAAATTAATTCTCGTGGAACGCGAATGTGTGTGTGAATAGATTTCGGCTTTTGTTAGCAACAGCAGACGAATGACGATACACCTCCCGGAGTCGCAAGTCCATAAGCCTTGGAACGGGTCTACACCGGGTCCGTTGGCATAGGGAAAGTGTGAAAGACATCGCAACCACAACCACTTCAAGAGTGAAGGTTATCAAGCAAGCAAAAGCCCTCAAGATACAAAAGTTACAGTGTCCCTCGTCAATCTCCTTTCATCGATACACCTCCCAGAGTCGCAAGTCCATAAGCCTTGGAGCGGGTCTGTACCGGGTCTGTTGGCGTAGGGAAAGTGTGAAAGACATCGTAACCACAACCACTTCAAGAGTGGAGGTTATCAAGCAAGCAAAAGCCCTCAAGATACAAAAGTTACGGTGTCCCTCGATAAAAGGGCTATGCAGCGAGTAGTCGTTTGACCCATATTAATATATTATATCTGATACCTAAATTTTTTGGCTTGTATCTCCTTGTGATACAGTTCACATTTGCATACTAATCACGTGCATGGATATAATAGATTAGTACGCGTCCGTACTGATTACTGAAATTTCATTTAATTGCAACGTGTTATGAAAGAAGAGGATTTCATTGCACCAAACGATCGTTTGCATGATGACTATGTCACTTCAAGACCAATGAAAGAGTGGCATAACATAGATTCTTATGTCACCAAGTTACTGGAGAATAATCCAGGGTTATTTGAATATGATTGTTTCGCAGTCTGTTGCCGGAGCTTGAGTTTGTTATCAAAACAGGTTTCGGATTGGCCAAACAGTGTCTCTAAATACGCCTCCACATTACTTTCAAAATGGAAGGGACCCGAAAAACAACACTGGCTTGAGCTCGCAAAAAAAGCCATTCAGCGTAAACGTGCTGATGAGAAGATTTCATCTAACAATGCTGAAATTCAACAGAAAAAAATTATCCAACATCAATGAACCACAGTTTCTGCTATTAACTTAGTCACCGAAGAAATTGATGAACTAGCACCACGTAAACATCAACGTGGACAAGAGCCACAAACACCAAAAAATAAGGTAGTTATATTTTTCCATTGTATGCCCCACAACAAAAATGTCTTCTCACCACAAATGTGTGATTTCCATTAGGAAGGAGAGCCTTTGAATGGAATGGCACTTAGGAAAACAAAGAAGATTTGTTACACTGAATTCTCAAGTCCAGGTTCATCAGATTTAGAGGATGTAGAAAGCACACCATGTCTGACAACTCATTCAGTCACACGTACTTTAAGGTGATGCCTAATAAGCCCATTATTACGAAAGCAACATATGATGAATATTCTGCACATATAATTTGTGCTTTTAATACAATGATACATCTTGTCAAGAAAACAATTAGAGAACAAGACTATGAAAAAGTTAAAACTATACTTCAAATGGGGAACAAATTGGTCATGAAAGATTCAATAGTAGAAAAGCTCAAAAAAATATTTCAATCAGAATATTCTGAAGTTGAATCGAAAATAATTTCAGAGACAAAGATTGACAATAATCAAACAACGGATGAGGATAGGTTTATATTCTTCATACAATATGCATTACTAGACTTTGTTTCAAAGTTTAAGTTTTTGATGCCAAAAGTCATGGACCACGACATGCTTGAATGATCTTATATCATTGAAGTCCTGTCACCAATTCTCCTTGCATTTTGCAAAGCGTTTCCTGATGTAAAATATATGTGGGTAGAGAAGGATGTGAGATCAATTAAAGAAGCAAACGTTATGTTTATGGGTAATATTGGAGAACGAAAGGCAGATTTACTCATTCTCAGGTTATCTGATGCAAGAGAACTTTTGAATGTTGAAGTTTCTGGACCTCCGTATAGATCCACAAAAAAACATACTGTTGGTGATGTAAAAAAACTATTAGTAATGGCTGTCTGCAGTCTACAGTGGATACCAAAAAGTTTGTGAATTTTTCACATGATCACCCTAAATCCGAATAAGCACAAAAATTCTGATCATAGACAAAATCGTATGTAAGCATGCTATTCTTACCAAATTTGACATAGGCATAGTCCATTAACC